ATATACAATCTACTAGGCCAAACGCTTCAATAACACTTACAAAAAGACGAAAAACTCTTTGGTAATTACATGATCAACAAAGCCTACCGCTTTTTCGTGACTTCCAATGAGGAAGTTTAGAGCAGCTGATTATAGTCGCATGTGGTTAACGACTGCACCATCCCACATCAAAATAGATGCGAACATACGGGATCAGGTCGCGTATGACCTCCGGGCATTCGTCCCTGCTATTCATTGTAGGGTTTTTGGCATTTATCCAAAAAGCCTCAAGGAGTTTTCGCGCTGGTGTTTTGGACTCCTGTGCAAGGATATTGACTTTTACTTCAAAATCGTCTCCGCTATGCTTTTGTATCCTATGCGTGCCTAGTGGGGTGCTTCGTCTTAGTTTTCGTTTGCCATCTAGGTGTTCTTTTATACGAATACACAAAGGTCTGCCCGTTTCGCCAATATATTCATCTCCGCAATTATTACAAGAGATCAGGTATATCGTACCTGAACTCATACATTCACCGTCCCTGCCGTAAGGGCAAATTACGCGATTTCTTGTTTCACACAGACGGTCATACAGGCGGTGGCGAACTAATTGGCGAGGTAGAGTAGCCGGTGGTATATCAACAATCGCTACCGATTGCTTTAGACCTGCTCTTCTTAAGCATCGTTTTATAGCTGCGCTTACTTCATTGCTTATAAAAGGCAACGTAAACGGGACTTTCTTTTGGCCAAGTGCTAAAATTGGGCCCAAGTTTTGCACCATCAGAGCCCATTTCTAAAACGACCCTGCGTAGGATATCATGCAACCTTCATGAGCTTCAAGATCGACTCCTCTATCAGGCCAAGCAAGAAACATCAAATAGAGATAAAAATCGAGAGGCGGAGGCACTACCACCATCTCCTTTTTCTAAAACGTTTTTCAGACAGCAAGACCCCAAAGATGGAGTTGACATAGAATTCCGCGCGTTTTCGGACGGCGTTCGCAAGACCCTTGATCACTGCCGCGATAGAAAGTTTTTCTCTAACCTTACAGCCGCACAAAAATGTGGCATGCGGAAAATTAGAGAATTAATAAACACGAAAACAATAAGATTGTCTGTTAGTGATAAGGGGGGAGAGTTCGTAGTTATCCCTCTCCAGCTGGATGTTGAGATAACAGAGGAACATCTTAGTGATGCCACCCCTCTATCGCCCATTCTCTTAAAAGCAATACAAAACTCAATACCGAAAGCTAAACAATCAATAGGCCAGTGTGGGAAAGGCTGCGGGCTTAAAATCATCAGTTATTTCGCACTTTAATGTCGGTAGACCAACATGTCCCGTCCTATACCTACTTATTAAAACACATAAGTTGATAATCATGCGTCAACCAATCCGTCATCATTTAAGGTTAGACCGATCATCAGCTGTGTAGACGAGCCAACGGATAGAATAACCTGGTTTTTAAGCCTGATACTTACCCAGTTGCTTAACCACATTCCAGCTCATCTCACAAACACCCAAATGTTCCTAGAACGTCTACGTAACTTGTCTCCCAATAACGCGTACCTGATGGAGTCTTTCGACGTTACCGCACTGTACACCAACCTGTCGAATGACTCCGCAATGCAAGCCATCTCCGAACTTCCTGTTGAACATAAAGGAAGAATAAATATGCATGGCTTGTCCATCCAGCAGCTAATGGCTCTCTTAAAGGTTTTCGATTTTCAGATGGTCTGGGAAATATTTCGCGCAAATAAGAGGGTTGGCAATGGGACAGCGATTGGCACCAAGCCTGGCCATTGTGTTTATGTATAAGATAGAAGCCCCCGTTCTCGATCTCCGGCCACTACTCTTCTGCAGATATGTAGATGATTGTTTTGTCGTCTTCTCTACGCAGAAGGAGATGGACAAATGCTTTGAATTATTGAACGAGCAGTCCGAGTACATAAGTTTCACCCGGGAGAAACCGAGAGACAAAGTGGTACCGAAAGCCAAGTAACAAGAACATCCTTGTTCATTTCCTTTCTTCCCACCCTTCACACACAAAGAGGGCGAATGTGAGGAACACGTTTCGAACGGCCACCTCTGCATGCACTACCAGGGTACTAAGAGAAGAATCGCGCGACTCGGCTAGGCAAATACCTATCTCCATTGGCTACGAAATAGTAACCCCACGAGCTATGTTTGCAAGGAGAACGACGCGCCCACGCGAAACACTTGGCCAAAAGAAAACCCCGTTTATGTTGCCTTTCACAAGCGATGAAGTAAGCGTAGCTATAAAACGATGCTTAAGAAGGGCAGGTCTAGAGGAATCGGTAGCGATAGTTGAAATGCCACCGGCTACTCTACGTCACCAATTAGTTCGCCACCGCCTGTATGACCGTCTGTGTGAAACAAGAAATTGCGTAATTTGCCCTTACGGCAGGGACGGTGATTGCATGAGTTTAGGTACGATATACCTGATCTCTTGTAATAATTGCGGAGATGAATATATTGGCGAAACGGGCAGACCTTTGTGTATCCGTATAAAAGAACACCTAGATGGCAAACGAAAACTAAGACGAAGCACCCCACTAGGCACGCATAGGATACAAAAGCATAGCGGAGACGATTTTGAAGTGAAAGTCAATATCCTTGCACAGGAGTCCAAAACAGCAGCGCGAAAACTCCTTGAGGCTTTTTGGATAAGTGCCAAAAACCCTACAATGAATATCAGAGACGAATGCCCGAAGGTCGTACGCGACCTGATCCCGTATGTTCGCATCTATTTTTGATGTGGGATGGTGCAGTCGTCAACCACATGCGACTATAATCAGCTGTTCCAAACTTCCTCATTGGAAGTCACAAAAAAGCGGTGAACTTTTCGAGAAGCTGTTGATCATGTAATTACCAAAGAGTCTTTCGTCTTTGTGTAAGTGATATTGAAGCGTTTGGCCTAGTAAATTGTATATCAGTATACCCTTCCAGGCTCTGAAGAAGACGATACTGCCGAAACGTCAGCAACTGTTGTATTGTGTTGCGTTTTTATGGAAGTGAATGTATGCTGTTTAAAAACCTCGCGATTGCTGAACAAGAAAACGACGCATTCATATTCCAATGCCGAGGTTAATAGAAAGTCGATCCTGGGAACTATTACAACTTGTTTCTTTTGGTCAGTTTTACAGGTAAGTGGTTCAGTATGTTCTCATCTCAAATACACATAATTTTAGCGTTCGCATATAATTCTATTGAACGTAAAGGTAGTAGCAGGAACGAATCAATTCCTACGAGCATAACTTTCTTTCATAGGCGATGGCGAAGTGCCCTCGAATTTGACCGCTATGTTATCCCAGTACAATATTTCGTGACATTCCGGAGTATGGTTGTTCATGTTCATAATTCTAGCGAGTTCGCATCCTTTATTGAACTCGTCTCTTTACGTAAATAATAATCACATCAGACATTGGTGAAATGATGGTTGCAAATATCTCAAATTTTACTTTCTGCCAGCTTTTTTTAAAATAAAAACTTACTGTTTAAAATATAACCACAAAAATGATGATCAAAGTTCCAAATATCAGGTAGGTTTCGAACCTACTACTGCGGCTTTCGGAGGCTCACGTGCTATCCACCACACCAACCAAAGCTCTTGCTTTCTCCCTCTTAACTATGTTTTTACTTTATCTGTGCTGTCAGCAACCACCCATCAACTGGAATGGCGAAATGAAGGATCAAACTATAATGAAGGTTTGTTTGTCAACAACGGTATATCCTCGGAGACAGGAGAAAGATGTGGATAATTTCTATTCCATGAACGTTTCGAGATTTTCCATGACAAGGTTCAGGGCTTTGAACGATAATGACAGGGCGTTTTTTAAACAGATTTATGTGTTAAAACTGAGAAACAAGTAAAGAAACTGGGATAAATAACTTGAGAGCTTACCTTGAGAAATTTAATCTTTTTCTTTATATCGCTTGAGTGAGCAATTTGCATAAATTTGAAAACGTAGTCGATCTTTTCTGAAGGCAGCAACATGTTCATCAACCAACAAAACGTAGAAAGGCTGGAAAATGTCTAATATATATATATATATATATATATATATATATATATATAAAAGGTGGGAGCAGATTTTTCAAATCGAAGGAAACTGAAAGTTATAGACTATACATCCAGCGCACGACCACGAGTACTGGGAAGTGTTGTGGCTCGCTGAAAAGCGAAGTAAAAATTAATGCCATATACCTTGTGATGATGACAAGAAGCAGATACCAGCACCAAAGGAAGGCGAACACTTTCTCATTGATGATGTTGATAAGAAGAGCGCATTGCACAGTGTACCTAAATCGGTTAAAGAGTATTTATTAAATTTATCGGCGTTGATCAATCCTTGAGGGATGCAGGAATCCATGCATTCGATTTTATTAAGCATCGCTTGGGGGTGATTGAATGCATATCTGGCCTTTACAATGACTCGCGGTAGCCTATCGATATATCGGGCCATTGTTGCTATTCTCCCACACAAGTCTGGTACAAATTCGCCGAACCCGGAGAGATGGAGGGCTTGATTGGCCGTGGGCGCAGCGATCGATTCCACGTGTGTGTTGCAAGGCGCCTCCGACCACTGCGCTATACGCGCCCTTTGGATATATTTATTAGTAAAGAAAATCACAAAAGGTTAATTATAACGTTTTGCACGACATCCTTTCTTCTCGTTTGTCAATTCGTGATTATAATTCATGTAGTTTGGTCTTCATGGCACATTCGATCACTTTATGGCGAACTGGTTCAAATTGCTTTGAGCGATAGCTAACCCTGATAATCTACCAGACACAGATACACAGACGTACACAGATACATGCATAAACATATGTGCAAACACTTGCAATGCACATATAGACTGATCGACATACTACTTTAAAGGATTTCTACCGGGAGTTTGAACCTCTCATGAGAAGTAGGAACAGCGTGCAGTTGGTAACTGAGAAGTAAACTGTACACTGTACAAAAATTTTTGTACAGCTCACGAAGAATCTTTATGTACTGAGTAGGGACTCTTTGACTATCAAGGGCTCACATAATTGTTTCTATCTCAGTTAAGTCAAAGGCCTTCTTTACATCGATTCAAGTGAGACAGCCGTCTATTGTACTTTCGCGACACTTCAATGAGTCTCGGTATCGTGTGGATGTGGTCCATCGTACTAAATCCTTTTCGAAACCGTGCCTGCTTACATGGCCGTCTTTCGCCTAGTGTTCTGTCAATCCTGTTTCGGATGATTCGAGTGAAAAGTTTATAGACGACAGAGAGTAAGCATATTGCGCGATTGTTGCCGACATTGTGTAGGTCACTCTTTTTGAACAATGACACGGTCTTGCTGGTCTTTCACTTAGTAGGGACCTTGAATTCAAACAGGTAACGTGTGAAGAGCCGAGCAAGTGTGTTTACGAAGACTGGCGGAAGGTTCTTCAGATGTTCTGGTCTTAACCTGTCTGGACCTGGTGCTGTTCGATTTTTCACTGACGAAATGGCATGTCGGATTTCGGAAGGGAGAACCGGTGGTACAACATATCCATCCTCCTTTATTTCATATGATGGAAGGTGGACGTGGCTATCGAAGAGATCCGAGTAGTATTCGAGAATGATTTTCTCTATTGCCTTTCTGGACGCTCTAACTGTTCCGTCTGGGCGCCGGAGTGCAATTATTTTGGTCTTGTAATTGGCGAAGCTTCTTTGGGCTTTGTGAATGCCTTTCCCAGTCTCTGCAACTTCAATCATAACTGCTGCTCTTCTCTCTTTAAGATCTTTTTTTATTTCCTGTCTGAATTGCTTTGCAACTTCGGACGTTGGTTCGCAGTTGCCTGCAGCTCGTGTGATTCCATGCTGGTCCATCTGCTCGAGTGTTTCTGGAGACAAGCGTGTCTTGGAGACTTTCGAACACTCATCTTTCATAGCGCTAACGTGAAAATGTTGAATGAACCAATCACATTCTTCGTCGATTTTATCGACAATGGCATCTTCCCAATAGCCGACTAACGAATTGAATAAGTCCCAGTTTGCGGTGGTTCTGGTACTTCGGTTTTGGAATTCAGCGGCTTTTTCCCCTTTCCGCCAAAAATAGAATCTTACACGAGGGAGACGATTATCTGATCCTGTGTAGAATTTTGGGATAACAGCGACATCGGTTAGGCAAAATCTTTTATTTACTCTAATGTGGTCTATGGTACTCTCCATTGGGAAGCTCCCACGTCCAGCGATGACGGTGGGACTTCTGGAATTGCGAGTTACCATGGATTGTCTTGGTCGCCATGACAAACTCAGATAGCCACTCACCCTGTTCCTTCCATTCTAATCCGTGGGTTCCAATGTGACGTTCTTCAGATGTTCTTCTAGGTCCAGTCTTAGCGTTAAAATCTCCAATGATGACCTTGAAGAACGTGTGGTCTTCCCTGTAGAACTTCTCCAAGTCCATATAGAACGCCTCGACTTCTTCTTCGTCATAGTTCGATGTCGGCGCCGAAACGAAGATTGTCAAAGCCTGAATTGATCCACCTCTTTTTAATCGTAAACGTCCTATTCAGGCTGTAAGTTGTTCGAATGGATCGGTGTTTTTGGACAAACTCGTGTTAACAAGAACGCCGATGCCGCTGACTCCTCTACTGTCGCATGTTCCGAGGAACAGTGCTTCTCAGGTGTCACAGACCGCGTTGAAAGGCTGGCACCTTCTCGTCTCGGCTAGGCCGATGACGTCGTACTTTATCCTTGTTGCCTGCATGAGCAAGTCTTCTATCGGGGACTCGGATGCAAGTGTACGTGCATTGTAGGTACAGATCGTCACCACTGTTCTTTGAAATCCAGGCAGCTTCCATGCGCCTGAGATTTTAGCAAGCTCTCCGTACCCAACGCTGCGAAATTAGGGGCTTTTTCGTGGTTAGAAAAGTAGGGTCTGTTTTTTTTTTACTGTTTCTAGCCTTTTGATGCCCACGTATAGCTTGCTGAGCTTTGAACGTGGGAGCTGTGTATACTCACAGGTAGTTTGCCAGGTTCTCCCAGAGTAGAAGTAGAGCTTATTTGTTAGAGGCGACTCCTAAACACCTCCCATATACTTTCCAGTCACTTGATTGCAGGTTTTTAGCCGAATTGACTCGTAGAATCCAATCCGCAGAAGTAAGAAAGCACCTACACACCCATGCATGAATACGCCTAGCAAATACGGAAGGTACGTGCCAAATCGGCGCGGCAGAAACAGGGAGTCAATCCCCTGGATCCACTTGCGTCTCAGGGAAGCAAAGGTCGTTTTTGGTCAGTGATTATCCTCCTATCCGCCACCTGGGGACGTGCCACGTAGCCTCGCGACTAACCGGCTCGAAATCCCTCATATGAGGGAGGTCCGTGGTTCTTGACATATCGAGGAAGAAAATGCGAAATGTACCGAGTCATTGGCTTTCGTGATCCAACATGCCAGAAAGATGGAATGCTATGTGGGCCATTGACGTAGGGATCGATTCCACGCGTGTTGCAGGGTGGCTCCGACCACTGCACGCACACGCACCCCTCAGAAACAACGCCCATGCAGCCCACCCCATACTTCAGAATAACTGATCCAAGATTGAGTTGTTTGCATGTCGAATACGTGTATCTGACCAACCATACATCAAATAGTTTAAAAACATAAATTTGTACAGTGAAAATTGTCGAAAGCCCATATGTTAACCATTACCTGTTCAGATTTGCCAAGTACCGCACTTCGAAGTCACAAAGAGTGACACGCGGAAAGTGTCCAGATTCCGTCCATGGCTTACCATTCATCAGATCTTGTAGCACCTGAAATTTTTCATAGTTTTTTCCTTCTATGAATAGCTTTCTATGACAATGAATCGATGACCTGAAATCCAAAGAAAAGATACTCGTCGGACTTGAGGCATGCGTTGAGGATCACGAACTGCACGACAATATTCATCATGTAGAGGAGCTTCGACAACAGATAGAGCGTAGAAATGTAGTGACCAGATAAAAATCTGAAGGAAGTAGTAGGCAGAATGAGAAGTAGGGATCATTTTGAAAAAGCTTTTTTAGTCGCCTCTTGCATTTGAATTTGGCAATAAAGCTTCGTCGTAAGTCATTATTTGGTGACTGTAGATCGAGATTGTCGACGAAGCACGAAGAAAGCGCTTGAATAGCCTAAAATAGAGCCAATAATGAGTTCCAATTAAAACCAAAATGTTGCTCAAGACTAGTTCACTTTCTAAAGAGTTTTGGCAGTTTGCATCCTCTGGGATACAATTAATTGCTTTCCTATCGAATTTTAAACTGTCGCATCGAACTTTGATTAGTGCAGCGACGGTTAATGAGATGATCTAAGTACGTGTGATTTGACAATCTTCATGCTACACAATGTTTGGTACTACATTCCCGATCCCACTAGGACACAAGGCTTCGTTACAAAGGGTACGCCATATATGATTTCCGCAAAAGAACTCTATTATTGCGTTACGCACTCTGGCAATCACACATGAAATCAAAGTCTTCTTCGAGCAAATGTCGAAATTGGGCAATAAAACAGAACTACGGATAAGATCTAAAGCAGATCGCAGCTACAAAAAGGAGCACCATGCAACCAAGTGTGGTCTTCCTTCGTTAAATCGTGTTTTGATAAGCGTAATGAAGCCATTCAGTAATGCTTTGTATACACTATGCGGATTCATCAAGTATTAGCGGAGTAAGCATTAGCTGAGAAACACGGTCTCTTCCGATTTTACATGAATGATTGCCGTTGATGTATTATGGTTCGGCATGGGATTATGAAATAAATCCTTGCTTGCATCTTCCTATTTCATATTGGAGCTTGTCTACCTCACAAAAGTAGTGATGCAAAGTAGACAAACAGTACTTTTTTGAGATATGGCATTAACATCTTATTTACAGAGACTAATATCACAGGCATTACGAGCAGGTGAAAAATCCAACATGTTTCTCAACACAGCAATCCCAGGTATACGTAGCTACACTCTCACGGCCTCTGCCTAGAGGAGAAGATGTTAACCTGCGTTCGAAATCACCTATCGTTTGCACTAAAGCTCAGCTGGAAAAGGACTTCTCGTATCTAGAAATCCGGACTGACGAATCTTGTATATAGAAAACATATCCATGCTTCCACTTATGCACTCGCGCATGCACGAAATGTATCGTACATGTCGCTCCATTCAGAAGTATGCAATCAGGCAATGGGGATGTATGACATGTCGTTTGGGTGCTCTCACCAAATAAGCAAATATGCAAAAAGCAGAATAAGTTTTGAAAGCTTGCTAAATTCACAGGATTAGCCTAGATTCCTCAAATCATAGAGTTCATGGAGACGACCAGTACTTGCGTTTCACCTGTGCTAGCACATGAATCACTGTACTATCTAGTAATGCAAACAACTACTGAGCAAAATTATAAGGCTGGACAAAGCCTATCAAATATTGTAATTATATTAAAAAGAACCACCATTCGGAGTTTAGGTAGAAAAATATAGGAGTGATAAGAGTTACGGTTCTCGTCAACAGAGGCATAGAACAGATGTCAACCAACTAATTCCGACTCGGACCGTCTTCGTTGCTTGGGCTTCAACGTCGAGGTATTACGGATAGGAAATAAAAGTTTTCTATGTAAACATATACATGCTTTGTAGAAAAGGTTATTCATTTTACAAAAATACTATTGGCTATTTCAAAGCTTTCAAAGAAAGAGTGGGCAACAGGGTGAAATCCAAGGAACTTGGCATCGAGCACGCAGATTAGAAAAGAATGAGCAAGCTGATGAGCTCTCCGGCTTACGATAATAGTCAACATCGTTCATGGCAACTGCCAATTTCAGAAGCTTTCGTCTCAGTCGTGGATGCAGAAATTTCTAAATAGAGAGGAACATAACGATGATAGTAAATTGAAGATTTGCATAGCTGACACCGAAATGGTCTCAAAATTTTACCCGGGATAGAACAATTGCCTTCTTCGCACAAGATTCTTTTTTTTGCACAAAGGTGGATAATTGTTGAAACTCAGAAAACGATATTTTGAAACCATAGCAAGTTGGGATTTGTTCACATAATTAGTCAGTTTATGAAAAAGTCCCATTGTCGGAAATGCCGGTGATGAATACAACGCAGTTATACAACATCTTCAAGGCAAAATGAAGGTCTTGCATAACATGTTATCCGGAAATTTTGCACTGCTTCAGTTTATTACTCTCTACGTTTGAACTTGTAGAAGTCGGTAGAAAAGCGAAGAAGGAAATTCTTCAGAAAAAGCCCTAGTGCTAGATGAAGCTGCAGAGGCTGGCAATAACATCAGAAAAGCAATGGAGCAAGTAACCAATAGCTTCGACTTCGAAGTCATTGACATCGACGTTTAGCTCTAGATATCAAACCAAGAAAAATATATATGGTCTCTTAACAGTTCCACCATCTAAATAATGCCAAGCCATATCGCCGTTGGAAAAAAATCGTTCACCACAACCTGCTCCGAATAGGATTGTAACAGAATATTTGAGGAAGCTACCACCTTTCCTTATCAACACATCGGCCTATGAAAAGTAACTTGTCAGTACACAGGATTTCACAACAAGGCAAAAACTTTTGCTGTACTGCAATGCTACACAAAAGGGAGAGCTAAGCGAAGTCGCTTAGTGCGGCAAAAAAAATCTGACTGTAGCGCGGTATCAGTTCAGCGACCCCCAACTCGAATCATGCTTAAAAAGAGGTGGGAAATCATTAGATGAAAAACAGTCATGTGAGCAAGCAAGAATTGCGAAAGTGTTCGATCATATTCACATAACAGAACTCACTGGAACATCTCCAGAATATAAGAGACCGCTTTGCAGACCCAAAAATCGGACGATTCCCTTTAGATAGAAGCAGTTATGAAAGCTATGGAACGATTAGTGCATAAAACTTCTCCGTAGACAACGTAACACCTTTACACCAAGACTGAAAATTTATGAAAAACATTGTCAAGATTTAAGGCTTCAAGGAAAAGCTTTGGCAAGCAACACGATATGTACCCGAACTGTAATCGAAAGCAAACGAATGAAAGCCGAAAACCGGTAGCTCCACAACTGTGTTTTGGTGACAACATCTTTCTTATTAAGCTGGAAAAACTAAAGGCGGCCATTATTGTAAGCGGTTGCTCAAACAATGGTTTTCGATCCATTCTCACGAAGAATATCTCCATGAAGAAACGAATTTGCTTACAATGTAACATTTGTGCTCAATAGATTGAATATTTTCAAGTGCTCTACGTATGGTGTCTGAGTCGTAAAGTCAATATGATGAAGGAACCTCAAAGCTGAGTAGGTGGATGAAAGTGGCACGCGAAAACATTGTAGATATAGTGAAGAAGAGATTGAATGAACGACTGCGTGTCCACCTTTATTGCACTTCGATTATTCTTGTCTTAAACTTTACGTCTAAAACCAGGTCCTAACACTTGAACGCACAATGGGATGAAAGATTACTAAGCAATATGAAAAATGCCAGCTAAGGTGTGGATACTAAGACCAAAAAGAAATCTTAAGTTCAGAACTGTGGAGACGATCAAAGCACAGAAACATGCTGCATGTGCCAAAGTAGATGAGGAAATGCAGTAAAGAACACTCTATACGTCTTCACACAACAGCTGGAGATTAGCCGTTCGTATTTAAGGCCCCAACGAATGTCAAGCACATGGAAGAAAGACTACCGTTTTCGATGGTTCGATTTTTTTAGCTAACGTTTTATATGAAAAATGTGACGTTCCACGAGTACTTAAAGCAACCTGGAAACACTGGGCTAATCGTACAGACGATAGGAATAGATAGAAAATTTACTGGGTTTTTTTCGTTACACTCGAAGCTCATCGAAGCACAGACGGAAGCTAATAATGCTGTTTAAGGTTTTATGATTAATGAAAATATTGCCTTTTGGCGCTCCATGGGGTCGACAATAGCCTGAGTGTCGCAAGCTGCGTTGATGAGGTGTTGGATATTGAGACCTGAAATGATGAAAGGGCAATCGAGTAGTTCTCAAATTTGGAAAGATTTTGCAGAAAAAAGCGCAACGTATTTAAGCAATGGAAGTCTCTTCAGTTGTGAATTCAGATTTCACGACAGGGTGGGAAGACTGATCGTAGATTTGTTGCCCTGGCAAGAATCGCTATTATTCTGAACAAGCACTAGCCGTAATGTCGCCAATATCCCTTTATTCACCAAAGCCGGAAACTCCTTCTAGCAAAAGCTTGGAAATCGACTTGAATGTGTATCTAGGGATTTCAGGAGAAACCGTATTTATATAATCGTTTTCCTAGGGTTCAAAATGCTATATGTGATGAAGATTCATTTTCAAAGTAAGAAAAAGAAAGCAAAAAGAAAAAAATCCCACAAGCTACGATCAATGTCGACGATTCCGTCCAGAACTCCAGATCAGGTCGCATTAATGCCGGAAATCACGTCAAGAAAAAAATTTTGCTACCTAGCTGTTAAATGTAACAATTGGGGAACACTGCGCTTGTGCTCACACGATTCGCAAAGTAAGGCCTTGCAGGAAATAAAGTTCTCTGCATAAGGTAAGAATAAGAAGGACATATATCACGTTTAAACTGAGTTTTCCGGCTTATATTTTTTAGGATTCAAAATAGAAAACAGTGCTTTAAAGGACAAAGATCAAGCGATAAGTTTTCGATGGAGTACTTTTATTGCTGCGGCATTTTACAAAGCATGTTCGTTACGAGATCATGTGAGATTTTAAACCTGATAAACTCTACGAAATATCGGATTCATTAAAAAGATCCTGATCTTGCCAAAAAATTTGCTGGTTAACAAGACTGCCTTCTTCGTATGTCGCAAGCATCTTCCTTTTCATAAATTGGATTCATTGTCCTGTAATTGCCATCCACGGTGGTGGTCGGATCCTTCTACGTGTAAGGTCTCGAAGTGAAGATTTCCACTTTTCTTTCCTACACGGTAAACGCTAATTCATACAATTTTATTTAGCGTTGTCAGGTTCCCAAATCATCACCGAACCCTATCGTCAACCCATCTGATTCGGTGGAAAATCCGGTTCTTACAGGAGGGCAGCGAATCCCACTATTATCTAATGAAAGCTCGAAGTAACAAGAAAGCCCCTATTTGTGCTAAATACATTGTCTAGTACTTTTTCAAAATCGCTAAGCAAAAATTAAAAATTTAGACAAACCGGATTGCCATGAAAGTAGTCGCCAAAAAATACACGGCATTGAGAACATGAGTGCTTCAGCAATAAGAATGAACGGCACCCATTGGTAGTATCCGATTTGCTTCTCTGCAATAAACGACGCAATCACTTGCGTCGACGGCTATGCAACTGAAACAGTACAACATCAAACCTTCTCTGGTAGTGTGATCGTCCGGGATGTTTTCGTACATGGGAACCCAGTAGGTGTTTTGAATCCAACAATAGCTCTCGATGTACTCTTCCATACTCTCACGGGAATGCGGATTCACCCAACACTCGATCGGCGTACCACCGTACTGTAGTCGGATCACATATGAATTTTTCTTCGGCGTAAGACAAGTAACAGAAAAACTTTTCCTACCAGAATTTGTTTTTTCTTTTTTTTCTAGTGATAATGATTAATATTTCGTGCAAGTTTGAAAGCGAGGAAAAGCTGTACCGTTTAATAATTGTGTGAACCAGTTTCGCGTTGACATTTTGGTGCGAGCCACGCATTGGCCTGTACTAACACCGTGAAATTGATTTTAATGGTATATAAAATGGATTACGAAAAAATATTGGGCCATAAGTTTGGATTTATATCCTCACGAACAAACCCACTACCAATTTGGAATCCTCGGAAGGACGGGGTCTTACTTAGCAAAGAGCGTGTGATCGAACCAACGACCATGTTTATTTCAGGGAAATCCCGACCAGTAAGGTACACAAACCCCACATATGAACGCAAATGCTTGACGGAGCAGGCAATAATGTGTCAGTTTTTGATGTACTAGTTGTTTTTGAATTATGAGACCGAAAGAAAAATAGCCGAGAACCATCGAAAGAAATAAATACTGTACCAACCACCCTGCTAAAATTACTGTGTTCAAAAACATCACATGACAATGATTGTAAATGTATAATAGGCAGGTAAAAGCTTTCGGTGTAATAACACTCGTTGTTCTTTGTAAGATACAAATAGGACCCAATCGGATTCTTGTAGAGCGCAGCCAGCTAGCATAATCCTTAACATAAGTGACTATTTCAACAGAAAACTGCCCACAGGTTCACTTACTGCTGAATTACGCTTAAAATTTTTATTTTACCAATAACTGGTTTGTTTTATATTTTGTAAAGCTCACTGTAAACTGGGAACGTGAAATTGAAGAACCATTTTTTTCTCCCCCGTCCAACTTGAATGGAACACCACAACATGAGCAAACTAGTCCTTTATCAATCTTAGAACTTTAACGACAATCGCGAACCCGAACAGCTTAAAAGATTATTGTGTAACTACTGAAAACTCATTCCGAGATTTCGCTCCTGCGTTTTTTTCCACAATAATCAGCTCAATCATTTCGATAACACAAGTGCGTTTCGTGCTACTCAAAGTGAAATGGAGAAACGAAGGGCGTCAACTTTCATAGGTAATTAAGGACTTGGATGTTAGGAATTGGCGCAGAAACTGTGTCGGCGAAAGTGTTGAAAGTTGGATAAATCCCTACTCAATGTCTTAACGAACTGGGTGAGTAAAGCGGTTATTTTTTTTTACAAGAACTGAAGTTTAACATCCTTTGTTTTTCTCTCAAAAAAGTAGTGACTACAACAATAATAGAGAGTAATAAATAGTGAAATTGTGTGCAGTCTCCAATGTTCCTGATCTGAGACACGTCTAATTTCACTTTATCAACTCTAAAGGCGCGATTAGGAGGCGGATTACGCAGTGGTGGTGATGTCCGTCATCACGAGAGTGGTACCAGTTCGATTCCGCTCTAAGCCAACCAAGCCTTTCATCCTTCCGGGATCAGGAAATTGGTACCGGACCTGTCTGGGAAAAAAATCCCACTCTTTAATCGAATTAGGAACGCTCCAACCCGGCTATCTCAGGACTCCAAGGACAATTGCTCTAACAGCATTCTACGACATTGAAAATGAAGTGAAAATCTTCAAGGAGCAACCGAAGCCACACGTAAAAGTTGGAAGATTTTCGTGGACAATGGATGCAAGGAAACGAATCGAATATGAGAAGTGCTGAGGTCCGCGCGGCAGAGGTGAAGGCGGGTCATATAAAATAAAATAAAGTAAAAATAAAATGCAGCGATTACTTAGTTGGCATGAAGTTGTGACCACTACGATCACTGGAAATGAATCTTAGTCAAGCTAGCTTTAACAAATGCTAGTACATTTTTACAAACATTGTTTACTGTCTGATAGACAACAAGTATTCCAGATGGCAAGTTTTTATTTTCTGAATGTTACTTTTATGAAGGAAAAACGGTACGTGAAGAAGGCCATACAAACTTCGTACCACAGAACACTTCTTGAAATGAATGTTGTTCTTATTGATTCTATCCTTGGCTTCACGGATAGATGAAGAACTGTGTTGCAGTGGAACATTCGACACGAGTAAACTTCTTGTTGTTCATTAACAGAAGGCATTCCCATTACATCCTTTTTTCTTAGATTCGGTACAAAAGTGCAATCAGAGGTGTATCGAAGCTGGAAACCGGATTCCTTCTAAGCAAATTCTAGAACATCGTGACCTTTTCTAGCCCATGTACAGCTTGGATAATTTATTGGTTTTTTCTTGTGAGCTGTAGATCATGTTTAAATAAAAGCTGTTTTGCTCCTGTCTTCTATTCATATCACATTAATTTAGTTATTCTTGTCACTCATTTTTTTTGGACGATACTGTGTAAACGTAAATCGAGAAATTGCGCCCATTGCTACGTACAACACAAGTTACCGTACTGCCGATTAGGTACCGGGAAGTATACCTGTTTGGCGCTAATGATGAGGCATGCGATGCTGAGAATGATCGGCGTGTAGTAATAGTTGAGTCGGTCCACAACGTCGTCGTCCCCGCGAAGAGACAGCGCGTTGATGAAGGAGCGCGCGAGGGTCGCTTGGAAGAACATGTTGTTCCTCGCTGCACCCACCACTCCACCGCTGAAAACACCGGCTAGATGTTGTCAACCTTTCATCGAAGTGCCCTTATAAGAAAGTCATTGAAAGCCATTCGCATTCTCTGCATGAAAACGTGTTGTCTACGGTAACGAAATCTTGCTAGTGTACAGAAATATTTAGGTTTCTATTAAAATCGTTGAGAAGCCTTTTCAATGTTATCCGAAGTTCCGCTGGATTTTCATTCTCGAAACCTTAACGACTACTTTAAAATAATGGTATCAGGATGCATCAAATATAATTTGTTTTTCTTCTTCGATCATTTATTTTTCCGCGTAGAACTTTTTGTAGCTTACTTGGACACTTGGATAGTTGGACACCTGTCTTCACAAATTGCGCAGGCGTCAGCATATTTTTTTCCTATTTTTTTTTTGGATTTTTTGCCATTTTTCTTTTTTGGAGACTTGCCGGTTGAGCCATTGTGGTTCCCTGGGGTCCCGAGATCAGCCCGGCTAGCGTCTGCCTCGGGTGAACTTCGTAGCAGCTTTTGTAATCACTCGATAGCTTATCCAAAACAGGTATTGGCTGGTGTCGGCCGAAAAAAGCTCTATTTTGCGGTTAGAAATATACGGAAAACCTCTTTAACCTCTTCTCAGCCAGTTTATTGGCTACGCTTCGAATGATTGCTAGCAGTTACTTCATTTCCAATCGTTATGATGAATTCCGATTATCTCATGGAATTTGTTGGCTTAAAAAAGTGCAAAAATGGACACAACATAAGCTGCAAAACACTCATATTCTAACAGCAATCGGTTTCCATGGTGAACCATGGTAAGAATATCGGCAAATGGTAGACTACATAATCTGAGCATTCCTAGATTGGTAGAACTAAGTATCTTCTACAACTCCTTCATCTCCTAAACTTCTTAAGCTTCCTATTTATCGAAAACTAGCCATCTATCTCGTACATAGTGCTGAGATATTTGCAAAACTCCGGACTGCAGATGTATGCGGTGGGGAACGAACGCGCGCTATTGTCCTTACCGGGGAGTAGCGCACTTCACCACCACACCATCCGGTCCGGAGTTTTGCAAATATCTCAGCATTATGTACGAGTTATATTTCGCAACATACCCTGCCATTAAAAAGAAAAAGGCAGTAAATAAAAGGCTTAAGACTAGCCATCTAGTTATCGCCTATTTTCAAAAGCCAGCAAGTCCGCAACCGAAATTAAATTAGGCATCGTTTCATTTATCCGCAGCACAAAGCTAGATCCTGGTAGAAATGGGTTGACATTTATATCCGAAGAAACTTTGCAATGGCGATGTCGTCCCATCCATTCTTACTAATCAAAAGAACTTTAAGAATTCAAGAGTTTATATGTATTCTTTCTTGATAAGCTTGCACAAGGTTGATAAATATATTTATTTTCGGCTAACGTTTCGACGTCTTCGTCTTCCTCAGAGCCGATGATCCGAGTCGATGGTCCATGCTTGTTGTTCGCCTCGACGTTGCGTCTTCGCCTTCGTGTCGAGCCAGACCTTCCTCAGTGAGCCATCTTCTCGAATGAGGCATCCTCACTCAGTGATGCCCTTTTATACACGATGCTGATGGTGGATATATAATGACAATGTCCGGTGGTAACAACTTGTATTTCTTCCGGACATACATCATTGCGCACATCGTGCAGAGGTCGGTGTATTATCAGCTAGCACAAAGCGTAGTAATATTTCGAAACCGCGTCTGGTATTTATCATCCTATTAGCGGTGAACAGTGCGTTCGAAAACATTAAGCAACGTAGAGTGATTTAATGCATTCCTGGCCTGTATACTTGCCCTGGCCAGCGGATGTATCATGGCACAGGTGTTTATCCTTCCAGATAAGAATTTGCATACTTGCAAGGGATGGAAAGGTTGGTGAGCCCGGTGCGCGCGATCAGGCAGTTGACCCAGCCAATGTGTATGTTGCAGAGCTTCTTTAAACACTGTCTTGTACGATAAGTGCTGCCGACGGATCAAGTAAGTTTTTCTTTCATTGCAGGCAACTATGGCACTGATTCTACAACTCCTAAGGGATAGAGAGCACGATAGACCCGGGAGTGAGATCGGACAAATAGACAGGAATATAAATGAACGAATTTAAGGCGACGGTGGCCAGCGGCTTCAAATGCTGAATTTTGCTTAAGTGATCAAACATCAACTGACAGCGTAGGTTTGTTACCTACAGATTCAAAAATCGTTGTGCCCAAGGCGTTTAAAGTACCTAAATAACCTTTCTTTGAATTGTTTTACGAATATGTTAATTTAAAACTTTACACGACCATTGTAATCTAGTTTATATTCCGTTTTCGCATCGCCGCAGTCAGATCTGATGAAAAAAGTAGCTGTTCTCACCGAATGGCAAATTCTTTAACTGATGAGCACAGGCGTGTAGAATAAAATTCGTAATGGAGCACTTGGGTCTAAGACGATGGCTGGACGTTAGGTGATTAAGAGCCGAGAGAAGACTAATGCCATAGCCTCTTAGACTCTTCCATTAGGACTCCGTAATGGGTGACATCGTAAACTCTACGATGCCCAAATCCCATAGCTTCAAGTGATAACGGGAACTGCTTTCTATTTACTTCCTGTTGTATGATACAAAGTGCAGTAGTGGCTATTAAGTTTTTCGGAAAGTAAATGGATTGTTCCATTGTTTCCATAAACAGCATATTATTTATGTTTCGTTAACATCTCGCGCAAGTCACAAGGCACAAAAAACACGAACCGTAAAGAGGAAATTCTTATTCCACAGATGCAAAGTGTTTCTGTAGACTACGGAAAAGATAATGCGTTCTCGGTTGATCAAGCCCATTGGTGCTCGCATGCACTGGACTCCATTCATGGCATCGCAGAGGTGGTTGAGAACATTTATAGAAATGTGACTTGCGCGACTATAACTGTAAACCAAGTCCATGTGTCTATCCTCTCAGAAAAAAAATGAGTTAATTAGCTTGCTTCACCGTCGAGAAAGTGCAGGTGGTTTAGTGGGACTAGGAAACAGAATTGAACCGTTGACAATATACGAATTGTTAGCCACCTGTAACCACTGCGCTATACGCATCCCTGCTTTTTTATCAGAGCACTTCATTTTGCGCCCAGTGGTAAGATTTTTGTCTTCGACGTCTACGGTATTACTCAAAAGTCTTCAGATGCACCATGGAATGGGAGTGCCCGCGATTCACTCCCCATCCACACATTTGTTTACGAGCAAGATCATTTTGCTACTGATCCTAACAAGGCTTTCAAACGATGGAGATCCATGGGTGACCGTCAAATTGATGAGTAAGGATCTTATAAAAAACAAACGCGAAAAATACACTTCTCAATGTCAGCTTTCCAACTATTATAAAGTTGACCGACTGGAAGAAGTACTTGAGAATACCTCAGGTATACGGTAGTAAAAAAAGGTTTAATTCCACTTTTTGCTTGGAATAAACTGCATTCTATATTGGCAGATAATTTACACATTGCCAAGATATGCTTTGACCAAAAAACAAATAAGGCTACTTTTCTTATTATACTCCCCTGGGTGGTATTCTCATTTATTTTGTATTTTTAACAACCTTCTTAGCCTGCACTGCATGAGAGTTTTGATATCTCAAGGCAACCTTTCTAGAATTACTTAGTTTTTTCCAAACCACGTGTTCTGGAAGTCAATAGGAAAAAGTACAACGCTGAATTGTTGTTTCACAAACGTCGAATGTTTTTCTGTAGATATTTCTACAGGATTTTCGAATGGTTCATTGCTCTCTCTCTCTGTTGAAACACTTTTTGAATAGCACCTCGGGGTATCTTGCAGAAATCAGTTGTTTTTAGGCTTGTATACAGCTTCCACTGAGATTCGAATAGTTCGTGTGTTACCTTCAGCCCTATCCCTTCATCGTAATTTCGTACTTATTTTGCTCTTAAGCGCTTTACAATGATGCTCGTGGTTGATTAGATTGACGAGATTGCCCACTGAACACTTCCGTATAACAACACCGCCAACAGGTACAGTTATTTCACAACTGTTGCTCTTTCGAACGGTTCTGCTATACCTTTGTTCACCACTCTTATAAACTAAGCATGAGAGGCATATAGGAGCACCACTATTTTACATTTGAAGATACGCCGATACTTTGTGAAAGATGACATATTGCATGTAGCCCAACACGTCTGATGGTGGTGCAAAAAATCTCTGATGACGGCTTCTTCGAGATTCTCGTGATCAATTATGATGGATTTCCAGCCATTTCATCTAACGTTCCCCAATAACTTAGCGGAAAACATCGCTTAGAACGCTGTCACAAGCAGGAATGCTCGATTTTGGGAGTTATTCTTAAATGTTCGTTGATATCAACGGAATTTGTGCTCATTGTTCCACGCATTGGACCTCATGTGCTTTCGGTGACATGCATAGTAAATTGCTTGCTCCAATGGCCTTCTCTAAATTAAAATTTCTTGGTTAGAGGTCCCTTGTCGATATTCTCAATAATGCAACCATAAAAATTGACGCTGCTGCACGTGATTATGACGTTATTTACATTAGCTCGCTAAGAGGTCTGTCCGCAGCTTTCTCAAAAAAAGTTGAAAATTGAGTAGAACAACATAATTGAATCCTGAGCTGAGAGACAGGCAAAACGAAGGACTCGCATGGTGTGGTGGTGACCGTGTTAGCTCTGGAAAGGGTAACTGCGCATTCCTTCGCCTCCGCTGACACTCTGCGGTTCGGCGTTTTGCAAATATTTCGGCATCACTGTGGTTGTAACACACATAATACCCTGCCAATAAAAATTTGTAATAGGCAGTAAATAAAAGCTATCATTGTGATTTCGACTATAGCCTCAGCTTAACTGGGTTCGTTGCCGATTCGGGCTATTTAGACCAATTCCGCTGACGGGTGATTGCTGATGGCTCTGATCGATAGAACTAGATGAGAGAAAGGCGAAGCGAAGTACCCGCATGGTATGGTAGTGAACGCGTCAGAGCCGGAAAAGATTATAACGCGTTCGTTTCCCATCACAGACACCTGCCATCCGGATTTTTGCAAATACTTCCAACCTTTATTTTCCATTCTTAAATGGATAAGTATTGTTACGTTTAACGTCCATGATCTTCGATCACTTTAAAGCAGTTAAATCGCTGAGAAAACTGTGAGTTTTTCTTATAGTTCTCACTTAGTCATCAATTAAAATTTGGATGGCATAGATTACCTTGACCGCCTGAAGATTCCATTCATCATTTCTGCCTTAGCAGAAAATCTTTGTCGTCGAAAAGTCCAGCACGGCTTACCATAGTTCAAATGGAATTTTGCTGCAGTTTTAAAGTTATTTATGCTAACAAGAATGTGTATAGCAAGAAACTCATTGGTAAATCCTTTTCCGCATTAACTACTAGTTGCCATTCTCAGTGTTTCCTCAAAGTTGTTCAGCTACTGAAGATGCTCATCGACATTTTAACTAATGGATGTTTTATTCTCATTTACGGGTTCGACAGACGTACCTTTTCGAAGCATTTAGCAGTCTCCTTCTAATGTATTATAATAAGCTCCATGATGTGTTGTTTCCTAATCCTACGCCGTATTAAATAGGTAAAAACTTAACTATCGACGCCGATTTTAACAAGAACTCGTCGATGACGAGAACATTATTCACCAGCTGTCTTCATTCCTTCTCATGCACATAATTCGCTAGTTGATTGAATTCGCCTATGTAAGCAACTGATTAACAGACAATGCGTCAGTAGAAAATCAGACGTATATCCGCGAGTGGCGCTGTGATTTCCACGGGGTTACCTTATTTGTGATGGCTTATTTTTAATTCATTGAAATTCGCCTATAATCTTTTTACCACAATTCCTTGGAACTATTGGCCAACTTATCGAAAGCGGAGCAATTTAGATCACGTTTGCTGGGAAAGGCATTCCTCACACTTAATGATTTGCTAAGGAACCTTTTCGGGACAATTTAAGTGACCGCTAATTTCACTTACAATTAACTACTACTTCGCTTCGTAATTCCACATTGAACGGATAAGATAAGTCGTGGTTATTGTAAGTATTTTTCAAGTCCAAAAAAAATCCGGTGATAACTCGTTCTTTTCTTGACTGACGTTTCGGCGAATTTCGCCTTCTTCAGAGCCTCGAAAGGTGAAGTTGGATGCAATCCACCCAGCCAAACACCTCCATAACCAGGACAGGAAAACACTAAACCAAGATTTGAATCACAATGAGCACAGAAGCTTCTTTGCTTAGCTTCTTTGCTCAGTCACCACTTCCTATCAGTCTTCCAGTGAATACTTTACACGGAATCCAACCGCACGGAGCTCACATGGAGGCGTAATGTGCCTTTCACGTTAAAACACATTTCAGTCTGCCGAAACGTTAGCTATTGTAAGTAAATAATTAATATATAGTAACAAATTCGTATGCGCCAATCACGAATATAGCGAGTCAATCACCAATGCCTAGGTTAGTAGAAAGTTGGTTTTGGGAATAAGAAAATAGGCTTAAAATAAGTGCCAAACCTCACTAAATGCTCACAACAAGCATGGGAAGCTATAGTAAAACGTAAAGGATAAAAAAAGATAAAGCTCTCGGTGTTGATCAATGCACCATGAATTCGACTTCATTAAGTATCGTTGGAGGTGATTGAATGTATATCTGGCCTCTACAATGACTCGCAGTGGCCTACGGATGTATCGAGCCGATGCTGCTATCCTCGCAGACAGGTCTGGTAACAATTTACTGACTCCGGAGGAGTGGAAGGCTTGAGCCAAGGGCGCGGGGATCAATTCTACGTGTGTGTCGCAGTGGCGCTTCCAACCACTGCACCACATGAGTCCGTGGTAAAACATAGGACATAATATTATGCACAGCATTCATACTAAGATTTCTTTTTTACCACTTTCATTCTCACAACCTTTCAAGTCCTCTAGTTATCAAAAAAGACTTTTTAATTTTAAAAAACTGGCAAATCCACAAACACTGGAAATTAGGCTTCATCAAAGCAACAAGATCACTATCACAGCGGTTATGTGCTACTCCAAATAAAAGTCAATGGTCACACGATAAGCCAAAGTTGTTACGAACCAGGTTACCAAAATACATCGCTACTTTAATATTAAGCTCTAGTGCGATCTTAAGCCTAACAAGCAGTCATGGCACTGGTTTTGACTTGACTGTTTGTCAGTTTATGTTGGAGAAAAGGAATTAATCAAATAAGGAGGAAACCTTCTATTCGTTCAGAAAAAGATAGAAAAATGCTTAATTGTTGGTAGTGGCTGAGTGAAGTCTGTAATTATTATTTTTATGAATTAAGTAGTTGAAACCCTCGTAAAAAATGACGAATTGCATTTATGTAATACAATTTTCGGTAGAGATTAATATACGTCGTCAGATAATCAAGTGACTGTAGCCGCAACATCTAAAGAACTTCCCATTTTTACAGGAAATGTAGCTGCAGCATTTTTTGTAGGAAAAATCACTTGGGACCTATTTATTGCCACTACTTAAATAACCTGTGAATGTCAGAAAGAGGAACTTCATGTGACAGTGAATGAATGACACCAAGTCTAGTAAAAATAGCGTATAAATCGCATAAAGTCCAGTAAAATTCTGTTGAAGTTTTCATCTTATGAGTGCTTTATGAAACAGAAAACGAATAAACAATGAGAGGATAGAAATAGAGATAATGAAGATCGTTAGGGCTTAATATGCCACATGATCGTAGAAATGAGCGAATGAGTGATGGAGGATAATGGGCCAGCCGATCGGCAGCACTTTACTCCGACGACGACTTGCTTCATGACGGTTGCGCATAACTTGTCCCGCTTCGTCAACACGTGGATGCACTTAATGGATGAGTCGGGCTGAAACATCTGCCACGTTCTGCCGGAGACGACTATGAACGACTGGACAAGATTTCCAAAACTTCAATGGGCGTCACTGTAACCTGGATCTCCTTCATCGACGAAGAGCGAGTAACACGTCGTGGCGACACTAATCCAATGAACGCAATGCAACCGTCGCCGGAGACGTTAATTGAAGATTCAATTCCCATAAAACACAAAGTGGACGAAAATGTTTATGACCAGAATGCCGTCTTGGCTAAAAATGATATGATTCCTTATAGAAAAAAATTAGTGGATCGGGAAGCATCCGGTCGTAGGCGTCCTTTTTGCAGCCAAGACGTCGTCTCATTGAAATTGTACACTATTGTTGAACTCTTGTTTAAAAATAATGTAGTTCTATCTACTAATGTGATGAATTTGGAAAACCAATAGCCCACTGGTAGCTATGCCACTCAATACATGCAGGGTCCTAGTTCGCCCTGCTTCCCAACTTCCCGTGAAAGGAATTTGCTACCACACTCGTCTGGTATCATTTTGCTTCCTTAATCCACAAGGCCTAAGCCAAGCGCTTGTGATGAACATTTGGAACGGCGTAGGACAACTACCCTAGGATTGCACAGAGAGAGTAAATGAAGCCACCATTTAAATGTGCATGTAAAAGAAAACCACGGGCCTTTAAAAAGCAGCCGGATGCATGCGAAAAAATTCGAAGAGTTCCGTGGAATATGTATGTGGGAAAATAAACAGGATGTAGGAGATTTTGTGACACTTTCAGTATATGTGATTCTGAGTCGTGTAAAATGAACAAAAGCACAATGAATGATGCTGTGCAGTGGTTGGTAGTGATCTCTGAAGAACACGTAGTAGTCAGGTCTTCCCCTTTACGTAAAACGAAGAAATGTTAAACTTCAATACTGTGGTTCCCAGATCATTCGGGTTGAAGCCTGATTGCTGATAGCACCGACAGAGCAGAAAGATGACTGAAAGAAAGGCAAATCAAGAGCTTCGGCTCGGTTGTTGTCTTGGATAGCACGTGAGTCGCCGGAGAGGGTAGTCGCAGTTTCGAAGCCCACTTGAGGTTTCGAGTTTTTACGTTTTGTTTTCTGCCTTCTATAATTTTCATGGCAGGTTACTAAGCGAAATAGTTGTGTCTCGAGTTTTGTTCATATCTCAGCATTCTTATGGTTGAAGTTCGGAGTAGTTTGTCATTTTTACTTAATACGAAAGAGGAGAGCATCTAAGATCGGCTCTTTTACAGAAATTATGAAATTGTCGACTGTTTGTCATCATCAAGTCAATGAATGAATTGATTAGTGAAAGCAGTAAATAACAGCACAAAACTTACTAAACCTTTGCGGTTTGAAAACCCCAGATAGAGAACACTCTACGAAATACGCTAAATCCCTTAGAGCTTCTATGAAAAAGAATATAGTATTGTATTATTATGATGGCGCCATATTGCGAAGGTATTTTTAATCAAACTAAAAGAAATGTGGCAGCAATATCGGTGGATTCAAAAATCATAGACAAAAAGGTCTAAAGCTACAACGAATACTAGCTGCACACGCTCACACGAGCTCACTTTCGTGAGATCTATGTAATACTCCGCAAAGGATCCTCGTTCTTAGGTCCAAATCCAGAACGTCGGCGGCCACAGCTCATTGGTCCATACTAACGCATGCCCACAAATTTCGAGAGTGTGAGGTGGAAATATTCTGGGTAGAGAGAAGAATTTACTACTTTAAAATATTCTAGACAAGCTGCCGCCGAAAAGTAGTTATTTTGAGTTTTTCACTTTTCCATTCAACATGGGTGCGACGCAAAATCGTGAAGAGATTCTGATTTATTACCACCTATAAATTAACGAAAGACTTTATTATTGGGAAGAAATGCAAAGGGATATAGATGACAATCCTAGGGCGGGACCCTTGTAAATGAAGGTTTCGCTCTATATTGGGTTATTATGTCCGCCATTGTCTCTTAGTCGTCAAATGTTCAATAGCGGCTTTTCTGAGAAGCAAAATCACAATTTTGATTTTATTGAGACTTTTAGGCCCTTTCTGACGTATAGGCAACTGCTATTAATCAAAGCAGACGTTCACAAAAGACCGGTGCGGCGTGAACTAAACTAAATCGAGTTTCCAATTCTATCCCACAGTCGACTATATCCCGCTCAGCTTTCTCAGTTGCCTTATATCGGCTCAACTGAGGTCTCTCCCAGAAAAATCGCAAAAAAAGGCAAGTTTCATTTTGGTCCGTAGACGTTTCTCCATTAGAAAGCCAATCGCTATAGTGGTTGAAGTGATGATTGTGAGAATAGGATTACTTCAGTTGATTAAACGGTAAATTGCGTCTGCAACAAATTCTCACTGACGAGCTTTCGTCAGCTTGTCGATGCGAACCTATCGAGGGTGAGAACTTCACCGACTTTATCACGCTCAACTGTTTTTTCGGACCTCTTACATTCAATGATAAAGGGAACGAAGTAGCTCCGTTCATTATCCCACCGCATTCTCTTTAGTGGTGAATTTTTCTTCATGCACACTTTTCAATACTGCTTATCACTTGCCTGTGAATTTTTAACATGGCTTGTTATTCTCATTGTCGTCTGTTAGTAGAATTTGGAGACTTTTCGAAGGAGAAACTTACAAGTTTCTGTTAAAAACAAGAATTCTTTACTTCTAAAAATCCAATCTTTGACTAAAAAGTTAGTTAAGAAAATATTGACTTTTTTATAAGATCAGATAAAACAGGATAAAGAATAAAGCTCTCGACGTTGATTAATGTCTGAAGGAAGCGCCTTGTATTCGAGTTCATTAAGTATCGTTGGAGGTGATTGAATGCATACCTGGCCTTTGCAATGACTTGCGGTGGCCTACCGATGAATCTAGCCAATGCTGTTATCCTTCCAGACAATTCTGATACCAATTTGCCGATCCCGAAAGAATGGAAGGCTTGGTGGGTCATGGGTGATGGGATCGATTCCACTTGTTTGCTGCAGGGCGCCTCCGACCAGTGCGCCACACGCGCCCGTAAAATCAGATAAAATACGAAAACTAGTATTTTCAAATAAAACCGAATTTTGCTTTTGGTGAAAAAAATAACCTTGCCATTAGAGCGCTTTTATTAGTAATAGGAAAATCTGGCTTTATCAAAAAAATTTTATCGCCGCCCGAGACAGTGTTTGTTAATCTTCTCTATCTTTCTTTCTTTCCTTTTTCATAATTATAAGCGCAGAGGATTAATTTGACTTCATATTGAAGGAATAAAGAGCCACATTAAAAATTTTTAGAATCGCATCGTTAGATTTACAGCAGCCGAATTGGAAAAATATTTCCTCCCTTCTATTGAGTCAACTACTTCACGAGTAGCGCAGTGGTTAGGGTTGCGCTACAAATTCACATGCAGTAGTTGGCTCAATCCATTGTTCAAGGCGAATGGAGTCTCCCATTGCTATAGATTTACAGTACAGTTCTTCGTAAAAGTAAAAACACTGGCTTCTAGGCTTTGTTACATTTTTTATTCTGAGCAAATTCTCGTTCTCAAAGCTGCGATAATCGGATAGCCGGCTTGTTGATTGATTAGTTGGCTAAGCTCCTATAAGTGGTGCTGTTGGTACATTCCAGTCTACTCTTACCCAAACCTTTTAAAACAAAAAAGAACAGGTCAAAACATACAAAAGGGCTCTAGGCCACATTTAACGATGAACGCCGTTGTTTGCGATCTCCAGTCTTCAACAAGTTGAGCAAATTCAGCTGAAAAAGTTGGATTGTTTTTAACTATAGAAAGATCGTGAATAGATCTAAGATACACACATACCAATAAAACCATATACAAAATAAGCGAGGTCAGGAGTGATAACAAAGAGAAGCAGGAAGCAAAAGAAAAAAAACTTTTCAAACTTGTTACGGAAGTCCGGTCACTGGGATAAAAGATTTTATTATCCAGACAAGCGACATATTTTCTCCGCCACTGCCTTAATCAGCGAGTTGTTTCCAACTTTGTCAAATGAAGACAACTACAAGATCTACGCGGTCTAGAAAAGGAGTGCCAACGAGTTCTGGACATCGAAATGCGTGTACGACGCTCTTGCTAACAGCACAACCAGAACGAATTTCTCGCTGAAATGCAGGAGCACGTTTTCAGAAAAAACGGTTGGAGTAACTCCCACAACCGACTTTCTATTAACCTCGGCATTGATCAAGTAATTCTTCGTATTTTTGTTGAGCAAACGCGGTGTTATTATTCTTCTTTCACGAATAAGCTGACGTTTCGGCGGATTTCGCCTTCCTCAGAGCCTGGAATCACATTATGCATCCATGTGATTTCTGTGCAGTTGGTCTGTACGTGACATACTTAGTGGAAACCTCATAGAAAGCGGTGAGTGTGCAAAGCTGTGTTCAAAGTGATTGAAATCTTGGTGTGGAGTTTCTTTGTTTGGTTATGGAGGCGTCTGGACGAGTGAGTTGCTATCAACTTGACCTTCCCAGGCTCTGAGGAAGGCGAAATCCGTCGAAACGTCAGCTTATTCGTGAATAAAGAATAATAACACATTGTGTTTGCTCAACAAAAATACGAAGAAAACGGTTGGGCTCAGTATTTGGAAGACCATCTCTGAAGGTAAATAATGGGCTTTGATGAAAGCAAAAGCGACCAGACGTCAACCGTTTTGTGAATAAAGCTTTTATTAACAACCTCATGTCCGCTCAAGAAGAAAAAAATAATTGATCAATACCGAGGTTAATAGAAAGTCGATGCTGGGAACAAAAATAAGCGCGGGTATGCAAGAGAAAAGAACAAATAAAAAACAACTGCTTAAGGTGAAAGCAGAGCTATGGAGAAAGAAAAAAAATGAAATGAAGCAACGAAAAATGTTGAAGTTATGAGAGACACGAAATAACTTTTGAGATTCCGAACGCTGAGTGTTGAAAATCGAAAATCGAAAGCCTAAAATTTCTCAGGCGCCTTTTTAAATTATCATTTATTATTACGGAAACGTTTAAAGAGTTTTCCCAAAAGCATAGGATGAACTTCTATAACTATGGGTAGAGACACTTGGTCGTCACGTCAATTGACCTCGACCGGTTACGGTATACAAGGAAGCAAATCAGTCCTCCAAATGTTGTCCAGGATTTCTTCCATAAAGTAAAATAACGTTGCATTGTTTAACGATAATTAAAAAGCACATGTAAATAAAGATGCTTAAGGATATCAATCATCGGCAGACAAAAATAATACGCTAAAACCCTGATGTGTCCACTACAAAAGCGACTGGGGACTAACGAATATGGTCATACGACTGAACTCACTTCTTCCTCGTATTTCTTCCAGCGTGGGCAAAAGATTGCAATAAAAAAGCTCTATGGAGAAGTTAGAAGAAAATTCGTGACAACTGGCAAAAAGGCAGAAAACGATCGAGTTTGCAGTAACGA